GAGCCATGGCCGCTGAGCCTGCGCGTCCGGAGCCTGTGCTCCGCAACGGGAGAGGCCACAACAGTGAGAGGCCCGCGTAACGCAAAAAATAAAAATAAATAAATAAATAAGTAAATAAAAAAGGAAGCTACTGGATTTTTTAAAGATCTTTAGAAATCAAAATAATTTATTCACGTAATTTTTTTAACCGAAGCATAGTAAACTAAAGTCAAAGTAATAAATCTTCCGTGGTAATGGTTTAAGGGCAAGCGATGGGGGCTTTCTTCACACCCCGTCCTTCACTCAGAGGAAAGGCAGATCACCTGTTCTGGAACAAGCCGGTGCAGCTCTGCGGGAGAGAGACTGTATAGTCTCACAATCTGCAGGCAGGAAGTCCAAGATCAAGGTCAGCAGGGTTAGTTTCTTCCATGTGAGGGAGAATCTGTTCCAGATCCTCCTTCCTTGTCTCTGGTGGCCTCGGGGGTTCCATGGCTTGTAGACAGCCATCCTCTCCTTGTATCTTTATGTTGTTTTTCCTCTGTACATGTCTGTTTCTGTGTCTAAATTTACTTTTTTTAGTAAGTAGTGCTGAAGTTCCTGCTCTGGGGGCTGCACTGCTGAGGATCACTGGTCTAATACACCCTTGATACACTGATGAGAAATGCAGGTTTTCCATAAGCGAAATGACCACCAAGTGTCAAGAGTGAGTCCGTGGCAGGGCTCAGAGGGGAGCTCTGATTTCTTGATCCACATTTTATGCACTTTCCCTGAAGCATACGGTGTTTGGTCATCTTTTTTTTTTTCCTGTGCTGTACATTAGGACCTTGTTGTTATCCATTCTGTATATAATCGTTTGCATCTGTTAACCCCAAACTCCCACTCCATCCTGCCCCCACCCACATTTGGCAACCACAAGTCTGTTCTCTATGTCTGTGAGTCCGTTTCTGTTTGGTAGATAAGTTCATCTGCATTATACTTTAGATTCCACGTATAAGTGATATCATGTGGTATTTGTCTTTCTCCTTCTGACTTACTTCACTGAGTAGGATCATCTCTAATTCCATCCATGTTGCTGCAAATGGCATTATTTTGTTCTTTGGTCATCTTTGATTCAAAGTTCTCTGAAGATCTCAGTTGTCTGTGGACCTATCAAGCCTTCATGTTTTTTCTAGACTGAAGTTTTCCATATTGATCGACAAAGCTCTGCAGTTCTAGGGATGCTTTCTAGGAATCCTTTAAAAATGTGTGTAGGTTTTTTGTGTTGTTACAAAAGAACTTGATTCTATGAACATTTTTATACATGTATCCTGATATACTGTGCAAGAATTTCTGCAGGGTATATATACCTAGGAATGTAATCAATAGATTGTAGGGTGTGCTCATCTTAACTTTAGACCATTGATTCATTGATTTCAGGAAAACTTGTCAATTTACACCCTCACCACCAGCACCTAACATCTCCTGCATCCTCACAACTCGGCAACACTTGGTGTTGTTTGTCCAACATTTTGACTCTCCTGATATTTACCTTAGAAGCTGCTCTTAGAACCGAATCCTCACATTTACATGACTCCACCATGTTGGACTGTTGGGATTTTATGATCCTGATATGGGACCGAGGATGCCTGTTGCCTCTGACATAACAGGTGCTCAGTAAACGAGAGAAAAATTAAATGAATCTAAGCTATAGCTGTTTGGTAAAATTACATTTTTTTCATACTTTAAATGTTTATCAGTACATTCCTGATTCCAGTCTTTCCTTCTGTCTCCAACTTCTGCAGCCAGTGTCAACCTACAGTTACACATTTCTTCCCAAACTCAAAGGCTACACAGGAAATTCAAAGCAGCAGTCCAAGTGTTGCCCCTAGAGGTGGGAGATGTATTACATTTGCTTTACTGTAATCTAGTAAAAGATCATAACATGAATCTTAGAGAAAAGAACTTCCACAATTCCTAATCTTAATTTCAGTACTTAATGTATTTTTCATATGCTCCAACATGTCATTTTTAAAAAATGATATAAATTCTGCTTCTACATACTTATTTGATTGTCTTGGTGAAATGTCCACAATTAAGTTAAAAAACTTTTTTTTACAATGTGTAGGAACTGCTGTTTAAAGACATCTATTTTAATAAGTCATAAAGTCTTGGTTCCCGAATACTAGCTCATGGGTCTCTGCCGATTTTGTTCGTTTGTTTGTTTGTTTTGCGGTACGCGGGCCTCTCACTGCTGTGGCCTCTCCCGTTGCGGAGCACACGCTCCGGACGCGCAGGCTCAGCGGCCATGGCTCACGGGCCCAGCTGCTCCGCGCCATGTAGGATCTTCCCGGACCGGGGCATGAACCCGTGTCCCCTGCATCGGCAGGCGGAGTCTCAACCACTGCGCCACCAGGGAAGCCCCTCTGCCAACTTCTGATGAAAGTCTCTCTAGCCTAAAATGTAACACCAAAAAGAACGAGTGCGAGCTTTGCGTATGCATAAATGCACTACATTTGAAGGACCACACTTCATTCCAAGATTATGTCACTTCTACCTTCTTAATATTAACATGTTCTGTGTTTTACGAAATAGTGATGATAGTAGATGACATTTATTTGCTTGACAACTTGACCTCAGATTTTCCATATGCATGTGTGTATTTGCGTATTAATTTTACTGATCCTTCGAATCTAATTGTTTGGAAACCCTTTAAGAGCGGCTTACTACATCCTGTAATATGTATTTCGTAGAAAGCGCCCTGGGAGTTACTGTCTGGAGCAAACAGTAAAAAAGCCCCAGAAGGCAAGCCATGCTCATCTATATTCATACCCATTTATTTAGTTCTGATTGATTTTCCAGGGAGGCTTAGTACTAACAGTAAGGGGGTGACAAGCAAAGACAAGTGTCTGTCCTCGCAGGTTTAAGGGTTAGCCTGCGCTTCATACACTTAGGAAACAACCAGTTTCCGGAGGAGGGTGGAGACACTGGACCCCGATCCACGTGGGAAGGGAGGAGGAGGTAAAACCCATGCCAGGAATGGGTCTGCTGGGAGCAGAGGCACGGAGCTCGGTCCTACTGAGCGGAGAGAGGAGCTGGGTGATGATGGAGCGTGAAGACAGGGCTAAGCAGGGGAGCCGGCGCTAGGGCAGGCTGGACGTGGGGCGGAAGGGCTGGCGAGACAGCCACGTGGCAGTCGTTCCAAGGAGACTCGGGGAGCGACCGACTACAAGGCGCGCAGAAGATGCGCGAGGCCAGGATGCAGACCCACTACCTTTCGCACGGTCAACACCTGCCCCGGGCCGGGGTCGGACACGCCCCTCGGGCTCCTGCACCCAATCAGCGACGAGCCGCCTCTGGCCGCGGGACACGCCCCCTGCCCCAGCGCCTCTTCCCGGCAGCCTCGAGGACCCGGAGCCCATCAGCTCCTGCGCAGTCCGCAAGCCCCGCCTTTTCGTCCTACTGCCCGCGCCTCCCGTAGCCAACATGGCGGCTCTACGTGTGCCCTGCGGCGCAGCTGCTTCGTACCGGCTCTTTCTTGGGGGTAGGGTTAGCTTTGCTCGGGGACAGGGCCTCTGGAAAGCCGCGGCTGCTAAGCTGCAGAGAAGTCCCGGATGCCAGGTAAGGCCTGAGAGAGGTGGGAGTGCTGGTCCCTGGAGCACGCGGATGTGGAGCCGGCTCCGTCGCGGTCCTCTGGCGTCTCCGCGCCCTCAGACGGGGCCCCTGGGGTGGGGTCTTAGGTGCTCAGCAGCGGTCTGAGGTAGAGAGAGGAGTGGGATTGGCTTCTGGTGCCCTCCCTGGACGTTGTTGCTGGTTTTCTCAGGGTGCAGTGAGGGGGAGGTTATCTGAGACGGAACTAGAGCGACCCCTGTCTTGACCCGCCGCCCGGGTGGGTAATGGGTCCCTACCTGCCCGCGAGCCCCGCGGTCCAGAGGGCGGAGGTGGATAAGAACTGGACCCCTGCAGGGACGCGAAGACTTAATGCAGAAAGTCGCACGCACAGTGGAGAGGAGAGAGAGTGACAGTTTTAAAGTGTCTTGCATCTGTGCAGTTTCCGTTTTCTTAATTTTCCCGGTACTTTGTCTCTGAGAGATGGAGATCACAACTTCTAAATTAAATTTAATCCTGAGGGCAGTGGGAAGCCAGGATTCTAGTTTCACAGCTGATTGGATGATGATGCGATTTACTGACATGGGATCTGAGTAGGAGGAACGAGATTTGAGAGGGAAGGAAACGAGCTTAGTTTTGGATATAATTGTGTTTATTAAATAGTTATATTTGGGATGTCCAAGTGTAGATTTCCAGTAAACCCATAGATAAGCAAGTTAAAGAAAAGCTGATTTACAAGCTGTTACCTTGTAGATGGTAATTGAGGTCTTGGAAATGAATTAGATCATCTAGGGGAGGTTGTAGTGAATGAGGAATAAGCAGAGGGATCGGACCCTGAAGGACAAACAGCAGAGGAAGAGCCACCCAAGAGACTGAGAATGACCTGCCAAAGAAGTAGGGGAAAACCCAGGCAGTGTGGAGGCATAGAAAACAGGAGAGTGTTCCAAGGAGGGAGAGTGACTGACAGTACCAAATACTGTAAAAAGTCAAGTACTGTGATCAAAAACTGTTGAAAAAGGAGTGCCATCTTTTTTAAAAATCTTCTTTCTTTTATGTTTTAACTCAGATGGACCAATCCATCCATCCATTTATCCAACAAACATTTGTTTTTATTATTTTGTAGCTGAAAAATAGGTTGGAAGTTTTTATTTTTCTCATGCATCCCTTTTGAGTGTATCCTTTTTGTATACGCATAATTTCCTATAAAAGGGACTGTAGCATACAGAATGTTCTTACTGTTGACACAAAGTAGGGGAGGTGACAGAGAGTTGTTAACTTCTCCTCCATCCCTGGAACTCCCAAACCTTTGAACGGATGTATCCTTCTGTGTCTTTCTCGATGTTCTTTTAATCATAGACATGCATACATATGCATACTTTCAAAAAATGGATCCTGTTCTACTTTTTGCTTCTTTAACTTACACGTATAGCAGAAATCTCTCCAAGTCACCTACTATGTGTGTAACTGCTGCATAATGTTCTGTGGTGTGAATGTATCAAAGTTAATTTAACAGTTGATGGGCATTTGCTTTGTTTCCTTTTTCTTCCCACTAATAAAGTGTTCAGTAAACATCCTGGTGTAATTCTTACTACATCAAATATCTTGTATCTGACGCTTTTATTTCTGTAGGAGAGAGTTCCAGTTGTGAGGTGATTGCTGCAAATGTCAGTAGACATTTAATAGATGTTTCCACATAGTTCTCCAGAAAGGCTGTAGCAATTCACAGTCCATCGTTGATGTAAAAGCATGCCCTTCTTTCCACCTGCATTAGGTATTATTATTTTTTTCAGTAAGGTGGGTGAAAAATGATTTTTCTTTGTTACTTTAATTTCACCTCCTTGACCACTCCTGAAATAAGTAAAGCTTTTCTTTTTTTTCACCCATATGGCAGATGTTTACTGAGCACTTCACTTGAGCCAGGCACTGCGAAGTAAACAAATCATTGAAGTCAAACAATTACTAGATGGTATCCACCCTTAGCACTCTCAAGGGATGGTCCTGAGATGCTGAATCCCCAAATTCCTCAATACCTCCACAGCACATGTGTTAGCACATGCAGTACAGCTTAGATACACCTGAAGGACTTAACTGACCCCATCAGAACCTTAATGGTTCCTTCTATATGGCTAAAGACATTTATAAAGCTTTTTTCCTGGCACAGAGCTTATCTGTCTTAAATATTAGCATTTCTTCACTTCCGTCTCCAATATTAATCATTATATTTCTTTTACGGGCCATGTTTCATAAAACAACAAAGTTTTTAATCACTTTATGAGTTGCTGAAACACTACACCTGTTTTTTGTTTAGTTTGGGTCATAACCCATTAGTTATGAAATCTCATAAGAGGTTAAAGAAGGGAGTGGAGAGAATAGAATAATTATAATAATCAAAGTGCATCTTATACAGGGTATTTTTGCCTTTTGTTTATGTATATATGTGTGTGTGTGTGTCCGTCCTAGAGGGTGATAATAAGCAGTCGCTATTACTGTGGGTCACAGTCAAAAATGTTTGACACGGATGCAAAAGGAAAAAGAAACAAGTTCTGTTAAGCTGTGGCTCCTGGCTACTCAGTTGGGAAGCTCTCCAGGTTTTCTCCTGCATACCAGAATTGTGTACACGTTTCATGTTAATGGCTCAGTACAAGTGCAGATATCTGAGTGTCCCAAATTTGGGGTGGAGGAGGGAATATTACTTGGGAATGGCCAAATTTTTCTGGTTTTAAACCCGTGAATATCAAGGATCTACACACAGTGTACTGTGAGATTTAGAAAGGTAAATACAGAAAAGCACAGAAGTGCAGTGCCTAATACAAATGAGTTGTGATGGGTAGAGAGGTGGGCAGCTTCTCAGAGGGGGTGTTGGGAGAGTCAGTTAGGAGTTACGTGAGAAAAGAGAGGTATTCTGTTCTAGGAACATGTAATAGGTCCACAAGGGACAGAGATGTACAGAGTCAGTGGATTCTGGCAACAACAAATAATTGGTTATAGCAATTATAATTGGTATAATAATTGGTGAGAGAGCGGTGGGACAGGATTAGAAAGTGTATGGCTATGTGAAGATACTTGAATTTTTTTTTTTTAACTGTCACAAATGAAGGTAGTTTTGGCTTTATTATAAGCAGTTTGACAGTCATGGTGTGATACAAAGGTTACCCATGAATTCTTTTTTTTGCGGTACGCGGGCCTCTCACTGTTTTGGCCTCTCCCGTTGCGGAGCACAGGCTTCCGGACGCGCAGGCTCAGCGGCCATGGCTCATGGGCCCAGCCGCTCCGCGGCATGTGGGATCTTCCCGGACCGGGGCACGAACCCGTGTCCCCTGCATCGGCAGGCGGACTCTCAGCCACTGTGCCGCCAGGGAAGCCCCGCCCATGAATTCTTAATGCCTGTCAATATAATTTTATGTAGGAATGCCAATTTACTTTCTGTAATATTTATGACTTTCATAGTAAGAAAAAGCAGTAGACCAATTTCTGTTTTGAAAACTATTACTACAAACATCAATATGTCCTCTTTATTTTCTACTAAGCACTTTCTTAGTGCTTAAACGTTCAGTTTTTACTGAGCCAATATGCCTTTGTTGAATTGCACTGTCTGCCAGAGAAGGATGATGGATAACATTTGATACCTTAGCCCTTGTATATTTTGCTTTTATTGTAAAAACATTGCCATCTCTGTCTTAAGGATCTGTTCTTTTCATCTCTCATCTTGTGGGCTCCTGGAGATTATAATGTTCTATATCACAGCATCCAATTGCTTTTACAGTAGGGTCTTAATAAACTACTGGCAATTGCTAAAACTCTTTGAAAAGCAAATTTAAAAATTGACTGGGGTTTGTATCAGATACTATACAGGTCTGTAAATTAGTTGTGTTTTCCCCTAGATAATTTTTGACTTTTAGAAATTGCTGTTTATTAGCAGTGGAGAAGAAAACCCCTTTGGTAGCATAACACCCTTTGAGATCTCATCCTGTCCTTTTAAGGATAGATTTAGTGTGTCCCTCGTTGCTTTAATTATGGAAAATACTGGGATATTAAAATTTGCATTTTCCCTCTGTAGTTTAAAAAGCTCTTATTTAAAGAAAGCTTGATAGTAGCTACGCCCATCGTTCCCACCTCTCCTTGCTTATGAAACTGGGTAAGCGAACTCTCCTGTACCCTGCTTTCTTGTTGTAATTGGGGTGCTGAATGATTCATTATTTAGTGCTGGATAACAAATTACCCTCAAATTTAGCAGCTTACAACCGCAGATACTTATCTCACGGTTTCTGTGGGTCAGGATTCCAGGCACGGTTACACTGGGCCTTCTGCTCAGGGTCTCCCATAAGGCAGCGGCCCAGGTGTTGGCGGTGGCTACGGTCATCTTGGGGCTGGGGGTGGAAATCCGCTGCCTGCACACTCAGTGTGGGTGTCAGCAGGAGTCACATCCTTGCTGGCTATTGGGCTGGCTCTTGGCTGGGGACCCCCTCAGTTCTTGCCTTGTGGAGCTCTGGAAAGCAACTTACCACGTCTTGCTTCCCTCAGGTTGGTCAAGAGAGGATGAAAAGGGGGGAAGACAGTCTTTTTGTAACCTCATCTAAGAAGTGATGTTCTACCATGTTAGTGGTATTCTGTTCTTTAGAAGCAAGTCACTGGGTCCGTGTGTTCTGTTTGCTAGTTTCTGTCTGCATGTACACTTGCCTCTTTTTAAGGGAGTGACGTTTTACTCTTCATTCGTTGTGTGTCAAATATCACAGCAGCCGACATTGATCAGTTGGTATCAAATGTGGATGTTTGTAGCAGACACGGAGGTAGCATATCACTCACAGTTATTGTTGTTATTATTATTTATAATGTGTTGAAATGCTAGTAGTTTCAACTTTGTAAGCAGAAGGTTTTAAAAGCAAGCTTTCTAGCAGGGAACAGTTGTCTTAACAAGCCTTTACCTTGTCTCCAGACTCCTGCCAATTGAGTACCATAATAAAAAGAGAGTTGTTTGAATGTCTTGTTTTATTTAGAGACAGTGGCCTGTAAGATTATTGTTTAATTTAAAATCTTTTCTTTCCATTTGTATTTTCTCCTAGATATTAAGGTTAAGACACACCACCGTTGTAGCAGCAAGGAAAAATGTTGCAGCCTTAAGACATGAAACTTACACAGTGGATTTTATTAAAAAGCAGATTGAAGAATTCAACATAGGAAAGAGACACTTAGCCAACATGATGGGAGAAGATCCAGAAACTTTTACCCAAGAGGATATTGATGTAAGTACAGTTACTCCGTTGGAAAAGTAATTGTAGAGTTTTAAATACCGAAAGCTGTCAGACTGTCAGAATAAGGAAAAATGCCACTCTGCTATTTTGCAAGTTGGAACTGTACTTTCAGAGAGATGCTACTCTGTATTTGAAGCATTATAAAGTATAGTGAGGTTTAGATTTTAACCAGAAATGGATACTTTTCCTTGATTCCAGGTCACAGGAGCCACAATGAATGTTTATACACGACTTAGAAACATTTATCCTGTTATGTAGTCTTAAACTCAGCTTTCTTACAAAATGATAAAACAAATGGTAAGTTTATAGGAAAAATCCCATAAGTAAACCCAAGCCCAGAGTTTTTATCAACCTAACTATATATTTGAATTTCCAAAGTGAGGGCATGTTCTGAGTGATTTGAGAGTAGGGCTGAAATTCTGTTCCTTTCCACCTAGTGCTAGTACTCTTACTTTGTTCTTTTTTTTCAAGGTCATTTTGTCCGTTCTCTGCCCTTTGAATTTCCATATGAATTTTAGAATGAGCTAATCAGTTTCTTCAGCAAGCCAGCTAGGATTTTGATAGGGATTATGTTGAATCTCTAGATCAATTTTGGGAGTATTGCCATCTTAAGTCTTCTGATCTGTGATCATGGGATGTCTTTCTGTTTATTTAGATCTTTAATTTCTTACTGTGATGTTTTCCAGTTTTCAGAGTTTGTTTGGCATTTCTTTTAAGTTTATTTCTGAGCATTAATTGCTTTTTAAAGTTATTCTATTGTAAATAGAATTGTTTTGTAGTTTTTTGGTGGATTTCTTAGGATTTTCTACATATAAAATGTTGCCACTGACAAATAGAAATAGTTTTAGTTCTTTCTTTCCAATCTGAATGCCTTTTATTTCTTTTTCTTGCCTAATTGCCCTGGCTAGGACCTCCAGCAAAGCTGAATAGAAATAGTGAGTGGACATTCTCACCTTGTTCCTGGTCTTAGGGAAAAGCCTTTGTCTTTCACTATCGGGAATGATGTTAGCTATGGGTTTTTATAGATGCTCTTTATCGGGTACTGGAGATTCCTTTCCATACCTAGTTTGCTGAGCATTATTATCATAAAGCGGTTTTGGATATTGTCAACTTTTTTTTTTTTTTTTTTGCTTTTACTGAGATATCTTTTATTGGTGTGGTATATCACATTACTTGATTTTTTTTTTTTTCATTTTCTTTATCTACTTTATCTTTTTTTTCTTTATTTATTTACTAAATTAAAAATGGGATGACTATCTCCATGTTGTTCTTAGGACTAAGGAGACAAATACAAACCCCAAAAGAGTTTATGACATAACAAATCACAAAGTCAATCATAAAGGACAAACTTGTTTTACCTGTAATTTGTTCTGGGAATCATGAAAGCAAATGAAGATTTTTGTTTGTTTTTTTTAACATTATTCAATGAAACATTACTTATTAACAGCCAACCCTTTTTTTTTTTTTTTTGCGGTGCGCGGGCCTCTCACTGTTGTGGCCTCTCCCTTTGCGGAGCACAGGCTCCGGCCGCGCAGGCTCAGCGGCCATGGCTCACGGGCCCAGCCGCTTCCCGGACCGGGGCACGAACCCGTGTCCCCTGCATCGGCAGGTGGACTCCCAACCACTGCGCAACCAGGGAAGCCCCAGCCAACCCTTTTAAACAAAGTGTTAGATGTCAGTTAAGACTCACAAGAATCAGAGACTTTAACTATATTTTAAAGGATATGGGTTATTTATTTATTATTTTTTGGATTAATTGACTTAGATGTTAAACCAACCTTGTGTTCCTGGAATAAATCCCACTTTGTCAGGGTGGGTCATCTTTCTTATGTGTTTCTGGAATTAGTTTGCTAGTGTTTTGCTGAGGATTTTTGCATCTAATTAATACTTATCTGTATTTTTCTTTTCTTGTAGTGTCTGTGATTTTGATATCAGGGTGATACTGGTCTCACAGAATGAGTTGGGAAATTCTCTTTTATTTTTGGAATTGTTCGTGAAGAATTGGTATTAATTCTTTAAATGTTTGGTTGAATTCATCAGTGAAGGCCTCTGGGCCTGGGATGTGTGTGTGTATTTCTGTTTTTGATTTCTGATAATTACTGTCTGCTTTTAAAAATGGTCCTCCCGGGCTTCCCTGGTGGCGCAGTGGTTGAGAGTCCGCCTGCCAATGCAGGGGACACGGGTTCGTGCCCCGGTCTGGGAGGATCCCACATGCCGTGGAGCGGCTGGGCCCGTGAGCCATGGCCGCTGAGCCTGTGCGTCTGGAGCCTGTGCTCCGCAACGGGAGAGGCCACAGCAGTGAGAGGCCCGCGTACCGTGCAAAAAAAAAAAAAAAAAAATGGTCCTCCCCTCTCTCCTTGTGACCTGTGTGTCCCTGAGTAACTGTTCTCAGGAAGAGGATCCCACTACCTAACTGACTTTACGACTAAGGCATTTTTGAGCATCTCTTCACTACCTTTTTAGGTGTACATGGAATATATTTAGCTCAGTGAGAGAAACAGAATCATTCAGTAGTTTTGTAAATCTATCTGAAGGGATGAGCATTTTCACAGCATAAGTATTACATATGAATTATGTTGTTTAGAGTGGTGTGAGTTCATTGTTTGGCTGTTTAATCAGAATGCTAGTTTGAGATGTTAAATCCTCATGAAAATAGTTTTAATTTTTACAGAGTACACATGACCTATAATTTAATTCAATTGCCTAGTTAAAAGTCTAGGCTTGCTGTATAATTTTCACGTAGGTAAATTAAGTGCCATTGTATTCAGATTAAACCATTCGTTATTTTATGAATTTTAGAAACTGGTTTTTCCTTGCTACTAACCAATTGCTAAAATAATGATTGCTGCAATCATCTGTGAAATGCATTTAGGCAAAAATATTGAAGATCTAAAACAGTTTTTTTCGTATATTAGAATACTTAAAATTTTTTTTCTTTAAGGGGTTTAAAACAGACAAACATTGGTGCCTTCATCTAAAGGATCCTTTTTGTATTATTTAGAGAAATCTGAAAGATTCTGTCATTCAGTCAGGTAGAAACAATATTTTTAGTTCTGTTCCTTAAAATATTGAGTTGTTTCCAGAGAAGCTGTGTTTAACATCACACAGTAAATGTGAGGGGTGGCAGCTTTTCTGTAAAACTCTGTGTGTGTGTGTGTGTGTGTGTGTGTGTAGTGAAAGTAAGTTGATGTTATTTTGTGTCATTGTGCTAATAGAACATAGTAAAAATCTTCCTTAGATTTAGACAATAAAGTAATGAAATCACGAATTGTTATGAAAACAATCCAATCACTTCTTTAAAATATGTAAAATGTTTTAAAATGAAGCTGGATTTCTCGTGAGGAATATAGATGCAGAACTTTGTGGTTAAATTAATCTTTTAAAAGGTAAATTTGTTGTAGTTGAAGTGACGTTGTAGAAAGATGCAGAACCTGGCATTAGGAGAGTCCTTGCAGCGTCACTAACTCGCATTGTAATGTCTGACAGGTCAAAACACGGTCACTAGGTTTCCTCAACTCTAAAATAATAATACCTGCTCCCCTACCTCCAAATATAACTAAGGAGCGTGAGATTAATGCGTTATGTTATTGTTCTTATGGCAGATTTTATTGTAATAAATAAAATCTACCATGACTTGAATCAGTCACTAGTTTTCTGATTGCCTTGGCCGTACAAGCCTTCCGTGAGACAGAACGCTGGGGAGGAGGATCTGCAGTCCTCTCGGGAACATTGATTTATCAGGAGCCACTTCAGCCAGAGCTTGTATTGTACTGTGCGGCAGTGTGTTGTCTCACGTCGCTCAGGTCTGAAAGCCCATGTGGAAGTGTAATCCCTTTCCCTTGACGCGGGCCGCTTGGTTCTGCTGTGCTCGACTTGCCTACAAATGATGGATGTGCTTCACTCAGTCTCACGTTTTATGTCAATTACCTCTTCTGGCATTTTATTAAATTAAGGGGACCTTCTTTGACATCTGAGTAGATGTAAAAGCAAAAGAGGACGGTGACAGCCAACTGTTTCCAAAGCACTGAAAATATATGGGAATTTATCATTGTATAGTTCCTGTTTTCATTTATGTATTTGAAACTATTATTTTTGTAACAGGTTTGGCTGTGTATGTAACCTGAAAGAGAGACAGTATAGCTAAGTCCTATTTAACATTTTCATACTGACAGAATGCTTGGTTATTTCTAAAGACAAAAATAAATAATTTGATATCCAAAACCAGGAAAATATTTTAAGCTTCCAGATAATCTTCAGAAGAACATTATGGTTGCTGTTATGTATTTAGATATCGTGAATGCTTTTTATAATATGTTGACTTTTAATATATAAATTGAAACTAGGTATTGTAATTTGTCTTTTAATAATATCATCAGGAAATTAGATAGTCTACAAAAGGGAATTTCCTAGATGAGAGAAACTTATTTTTAATTGTTATTTGAAAAGAAAAATACCACCACTTACTGAAAACCTCGTATGTATGCGCAAGATGCTGTCTGGGAACCTGATACACATTCGCACATTAATCTTCATAAAAACCTACAGAGTAGGTATTTATTGTTGAGGAAATCAAAGCTGTACGCGGTGTTTCTGTATCCAAAGTCTGTTTTTTCCACACTTTCAAAGATTAAACTTTTTGGTAGCATTCTCTAAAATAAATTGCGGTCTCCCCAGCCTTACTTAGTAGAGTATAGAGAGTATAATTTAACCTTTGCCTCAGGATG